TATATATATATATATATATATATATATATATACAGCTGCAGCCAATGGTATGTCTTACTTTTTGATGATTAGCTTGATTTATGTTACATTTCCGGTCCTCATCTTAAGTAAAACAAACACATCAAAGCCCCAGGAACACCTATATGAAGCTACTGCTGCCAAAACCCAAAAATCAGTCCAGTAGAGAAATGAGTGATGTAATTATGTAACATAACACAGATTAATGCTGCATTTAATTGAACCTGGAACTGTGAACTCAAAGTCACGTGATTCCGAATTGTTGGTTTTGATGCTGGACTCTCAAATTATTCATTGCTTGGTCCCTTTTACAGAATAACAATGACAAAAACACAGTTCTCTGCTTTATGTTCCGCTTATAGACAGTATTGAAAATTTTAATCATATAGTAGTAACTAAACAAATGACTTGATGTTATCTACTTAGAACAGAACTATTAAGACAAGAAGCAACCATCCTAAATACAGAAGTCTACCTTGGTTGTGTTACGCCAACTTTCCGACTTGGAATTCTGGAGTTGGGGTTTATTCCAGACATGAAATTGAATCTGAATAGCAAAGAATAGAGCTGGTTCTACAAGAGTTGAAACAGCAGCCAGTCAGACTTGAAGTATTTAACTTATCAGGCTCCTCTTTCATTTGTTAATTAAATTCAAAATTGGCAATGCAATAATTTTTTTTTCTGCTTCTAATGAACCAAGAATAAATTATTAACTTTTAGGTTTAGTTATTAATTAGTTATAAATTAGTTATAAGGTTATTAATTAGTTATAATTTATTAACTTCACGATTTGAATGCAATATCTTTCCTTCTGCTTCTAAACTAGTGACAGTAGAGTTTCTCTTCACTTAAGTCCACCTAAATCTTTTACCTGGTAGATTAGTGGACTAAGCCCCAAAACAGTTTAATCAGAATAATCTATTATTTTAAATCCAACAGGTCTGAATAAGATTGCTGGACCTTGGATCATAGAACACAAACATAGAAAACAAAAGGACTCTAGCAACTGTTAGGATTTTAATTAGTTTAATTTAATTTAGGTTTGACTGTGTATTTCTTATATACTGTTTCTTTATTTTAGCTAATATTAGGCAGAATAAAAATTGTTATATTTTTTTGCTTCGTGTTAGTTTTAGTTCAATGGGTAGACAGGGATGCATAAATAGTAGAAGTTTTAATTCCAGATATTATTGATTATAAGCTCTCCTCAGTTTTTTCACTAAATATTTTTTTCTGAGTGGTTTTAACATCCTTAAATCGAAGCATTGCATCTAACTCCTTTACTTTTATTTTAGTGTAATTTACATATTCCACTCTAGGCAAATTTACTCTTCAAAGTAATTTTGAAAGGATAAAAGACAGAATATTGCCTTTTATAAAATATTCTAAATATAAAATAAACTAAATATGGATTTAGTTTGAACTATAACTTAGGGCAGCTTGTTGATAAAAATTTTAATTAAAGAATCACATTGAATTTCAAAATAACTGGAAGGCAATGCATCTGCAGCTTTTACCTCGTATTTCTGTTATCCTGTCAACAACATCATCTGGTATTTTGTCAGCAGCAGAGGGCCTGGAGGTTATCCACACTTTGGCTTCTGGAAGCAGATTTCCTTTGATGAGGTTTA